TCAGCCAGGATTTCACTAGGAAACTTCTGAATTGAACTTTAACTTATATATAGTGAGTGACATCATCTTCAACACCAAAATAGCAAGCTATTTATAGCCATTTATCACCTTTTTTCCAGAATGATTAAGTCAATATTTTCTATTGATAATATTTCAGCAAATAATATCTAAGGCCACTACCTTGTAAAGATGTAGTAACTGTATTCCTAAAAGACTGTTACTTCTGTTTAAATTTCAGACAATGTCGCAGAAAGTTTAAGAATCATTTCTAAACTGAAGGAAAGCCTGTATCCAAATAAATGAAATCACTGTTGCTATAGTAACTATATTACTCACTGAAGCATGAAGTCTTGGAATCCAAAGGTAGCCTGATGCTCCAAGTGTAGAAAATTGCTGCAGGAAATCCCAGGCTTTCTCATGGTTCCCATTAAATATTAGAAATACAGTAGCAGCAAACCAGTCAAAACCAGGGTAACCAGTCTTTAGTGAATCTGAGACACAGTCAAGGTTAATGATACATGTAACAGAACCAGTCATTTCAATTTATATATGATCACATGACACAACAAGGAACATCGCAATGCGATGCAACCAGGTTTTCAGCAAAATATTTCACAGAAGCTTTGTCATGAAGGGGCATTTGTTTTTAATTGAACTTTTAGGAGGAATTATGGCTTTTTTAATATTCCTCAAACGAAAATGATTGAGAAATTTTATGTTGTCTATTCGCCTTTTTTTCCCAAATGTTTTAGAAAGGTAAACAGTACTTTATTTTTGCTTAATTTTTGCATTTTTGCGTCTCTTGTCATTTTCTTTTGTCAACAATATTGGCGTGTGGTGTTTTGTGCGATATCAAGAAAAGTATGTTCACAATTTTAAAAAAATACTTGAATGATGTCTTGGAAGAAACATGGGAATTTAGTGAGCGCCAGGGCACTTGATGACAAAGCTTCTGTGAAAGTTTGGTCAAAATCCATTGAGAAATGTAGGAGAAGTTGCGCACTGTAGAAATTGTTCACTATATATTCTGGATAAGGAAAAAATATACAAAGGGCCATAATTCGGTCAAATATTATCCAATCACAAAACCCCGACAATATGTGCCAGGCACTTGAAAACAAAGCTAAACTAAGAAAGTTTGGTCAAAATCCATTGAGAAATGTAGGAGGAGTTGAGCACAGAAGAAATTGTTCTCTATATATTCTGTATAAGGAAAATATATACAAAGGGCCATAATTCGGTCAAATATTATCCAATCACAAAACCCCAACAATATGTGCCAGGCACTTGATAACAAAGCTTCTAAGAAAGTTTGGTCAAAATCCGTTGAGAAATGTAGGAGGAGTTGCGCACAGAAGAAATTGTTCACTATATATTCTATATAAGGAAAAAAAACAAAGGGCCATAATTAGGTCAAATATATACCAATTGCAAAACCCTGGCAATATGTGTCAGGGCACTTGATGACAAAGCTTCTGAGAAAGTTTGGTCAAAATCCGTTGAGAAATGTAGGAGGAGTTGCGCACAGAAGAAATTGTTCACTATATATTTTATATAAGGAAAAAAAACAAAGGGCCATAATTAGGTCAAATATTATCTAATCGCAAAACCCCGACAATATGCGCCAGGGCACTTGATGACAAAGCTTCTGTGAAAATTTGGTCAAAATCCGTTGAGAAATGTAGGAGGAGTTGCGCACAGAAGAAATTGTTTACGCCCGCCCGCCCGCCGACATACCTCAATCTAATAACCGAAAAACTGGTTATTAAAAAGAAAAACAGAGCAAAATTTTGATACAGGTTCATATAAGTTTAAATGCTAGCACCAAGTTAATGCTTATTTATATTGAAATGGATAAATTTGAAGAAGACATATGTAAACTTAGGAAAGAACAAAAAAGGAGATTTTTTATGCAAAAAAAATGTTCCTCGGCACTTCATAAATGCTAATCTGGGTGGGAGCTTCCATGGTTAAGTGATTAACATCAAATTTCCCAAAAATGTTATTCTATCTTTCATCATACTGTTTGAGTGTATAGTAAACATCACTTTAAGAGTGGTATTATGATATAAGAAAGGATACTGAGATCAGTGTCTGGTGTATGACTGTATAGTAAACATGACTTTAAGAGTGGTATAATATAGAAAGGATACTGAGATCAGTGTCTGGTGTTTTCTGTTGTTGCTGTAGATAGTAGTGTACTTGACGTATCAGGAACGTTAGACTGTCTGTTGCATCCGACGACGTATGCACAGCCTTCAGATGTATGCCGTACCTATATAATTACAGAATATAAGCACTAGTTAATCAACATTCAAACATATTTATAATCTACATGACACAATTCAAACATGTTTATGACCTACTTGACACAACTCAACCAATTGTCCAACACCATTTTAAAACTTTTTCACCATCATTCATTATTTTCATGTTACATATAATCATCATTCATTATGTTCATCACCATTCAATAATGTTTATTAGAATTTAATTTTGTTTATCACTTTCGATCATGAGATTGCCAACATATCTATACCCATTCAACCATGTATATCAACATTCAACCATGTTTATCGCCATTCAATAATTTCATCACCATATTTCAATTTTGAGGATTGAATATAGGAGGATTGAAATTTCCTCAGGGTATCAGAATTTCGAATATGGATTGGTATGCTGTTCCATACCACAGGACCAGAGTAATTAAATGATTTTCTAAAAAATTCTGTTTTTGGTTTGGGTACAGTTAGTTTTTCATTTTGTATAGATCTTAAGTTAAAGTCATGTTTGTCATTTATTGTTTGGAATTTATTTTTCATATAAATAGGAAAGGATGGTTCATTTATAGATTTATACATGAGGATTGCCTTTTTGTACATAATTCTTTGGTCAAAGGACATCCAATTTAATTCTTTAATTAGAATATTTGATGGGGTATCAAAACTTTTGTCTAAAATAATTCTTGCAGCTCTTTTTTGAAAGTTGACAATTTGTGAAAGTAATTCACTTCTGCAGTTTCCCCAAATAGTGCAACAGTAGTCAATATGTGGCAAAATATAAGCATTAAAAAAGAGTTTTCTGGAGTGGAGATCAAGGTACTGTTTGATTCTAAGAAGCAAATAGAGCTGTGAATTGCATTTTTTAATAATATTTTGAATTTGTGTTTTCTATTTAAGATTTTTGTCAACCTGGACTCCTAGCAGTTTTTCAGTGTCTGTAAATTCTATCTCTTTGTTTGATATACTTATATTATTACGGGGTTACCCAGTTGGGGCCTAAAAAAAAACAAAAAAACAACAACATTAATTGTTACTGAAATAAATAAAAACAACAGCTATACAACTCTAAGTATTAACAATTTTCTACCTACCTGATGGCCATTTTAATTCCTAACTGTTGAAGTGGAGATATAGTCACTGACTTCAGAGCACTGTCTGTGCCTAAAATAAACAAAATAAATATCAGAATTCAAAATCATTTAGTGATGACAGCCATCATTCACAGCATAACTTACTATATATGAAAAAGAGAAAAAATCAAGTTGTTTTAGAATGTTTCACTAGTCATTACAAAAAAAACCCATCTTGATGACTTTTCAAAGTTTCAATGTTTACACCTTTACACCAGTATGTGTTCTATTGGTTAGTGTCTCTATTAAAACAGGGATCATGGGTCAAACCCTAATTGTGCCTAATATGACACAAGTACTGGCTACTTCCTAACAGTGGACTCTCATAACCTAATTTTTTAACAAGCAAAATGATTCATCATTAACAGGGCAAAATTTGCTTTTTATTAAAAGGTGATAACTCAGCCAAAAAATCATTCAATTGGAAAACAAGAACTTGAGCTACACATAAATCCTGTAAAGTTTCATTGAAATTGCATTACTGGTATAAGAGGAGAAGTCTGGACAAATTTTAAAAATAAATATTATACTGATCATTCCTGTAAAGTTCCAGACAACCTCCTGTGTAGCTGGCAACAAAAAAAACATCTTTTTTATTCAAGGGCCATAACTTGGCCAAAAATCATTCAAGCAAAAACCTGTGTACTATACGAAAGTACTTGAGCATTCAATCAATCCCTGTAAAGTTTCATTGAAATTGCATCAGTGGTATTAGAGGAGTAGTCCAGACAAACTTTAAAAATAAAAATCATTAAAGGGCCATTACTCTGACAAAAATCATTGAACCAAATAATTTCAACAATATGCACAACTACACTTGGTACTGATCATTCCTGTAAAGTTTGGATGAAATTACACCATTAGTTTCTGAGGAGTTGTCCGGACAAGCCTCTGTGTAGCTACTAGCTGGCAACACACAAAACAAGAGCTGTCCGTAAGACAGCGCGCTCGACTTTTTTATTGCTTGCCAATAAAAAAAGTTTTTGCAGTAAAAGGCAATACAAGAATCTCTGTATTTTTAAAGTGAACTAGTTGTTTGATACCCTTGAATATTACAGCAATGTTTATATGACATAATTTATGGTAAAGTGAACAAGTGGATAGGAATGAATTTTTTTAGATTTTTTAAGTTTTTTAGTGCTTGCCTATAATACAAAACATTGACAGTTAAGGGCCATAATTCAAATAAAATCTTTGACAGAATTACCTTCTCCTGGACATGTTTGGGAATCATGATTGTAAACAAGTATTCCAACTTTCAAATTAATATCTCAAACAGTTCAGTCAAAAAGTGGACTGGTACTAAAAACTTAACCAAGATTCTAAGTCGATAAAAGGCCTTAATTTTTAAAACAAATCCTTGACAGAGTTACCTTCTCTTGCGTACAGATGGGGGTAATGATGTGAAATAGCATTAAAAGTTTCAAAGCAATATCTCAAAGGGTTAAGGCAATAAGTGGATTTTACCCATATTCAATGTATTTTCTAAGTCAAAAAGGGGCATAATTCTGTCAAAAACCTTGACAGAGTTATGTCCTCTTGTCTGTTGATGAAGGTCGTGATGGTAAAACAAGTATGGTCAGTTTCAAAGCAATACCTCCAATGGTTTTGAAATAAAGTGAGGTGGTACAAAAAACTTAACCAAGCTCAATACACTTTCTAAGTCAAAAAAGGGCCATAATTCTGTCAAAAACCTTGACAGAGTTATGTACTCTTGTCTGTAGATGGAGGTTATGATGGTGAACAAGTATGGTAAGTTTCAAAGCCATACTTGTAATACTTCTGAAATAAAGTGGGGTGGTACGAAAAACTTAACCAAGGTGTGACGCCGACGCCGACGCCGGGGCGAGTAGGATAGCTCCCCTTTTCATAGAAAAGTCGAGCTAAAAACACATTTTTAATTGAAGGGCTATAACTTAGCCCAAAATCATTCAAACAGAAAACCCGTGCAATATGTGCAAGTACTTGAGCTACAGATCATTCCTGTAAACTTTCACTGAAATTGCATTAGTGATATAAGAGGATTAGTCCAGAAAAACTTTAAATATAAAATCATAAAAGGCCTAACTCTGACAAAAATCATTGAACTGGAAAATGCCGATAATATGCACAACTAGATTTGATACTAATCATTCCTGTAAAGTTTGGATGAAATTGCACCAGTAGTTTTTGAGGAGAAGTTCAGAAAAGTTTTGTGACGGATGGACGGATGTACCAATGACAGAATAGTGATCTCTATTTGTCACCATCACTCTGTAGAGGTGACACAACAAACTTTATGATTAACCAATGAAAAGTGACGTTACAAACATGCAGTATTATAAAATAAAGATATACCTGCATACTGCATCAGTGGGAACACAGATTCCTCTGCTATACTACACATTACATTCACCGTCTTCTCTAATATCTTATGTATAACTACAAAATATAACAATAAGTAATAACATGATATAAGACAAAAACATTCAAATACAGTATTTATGTGGCAAACTGTTAAACTAAAATAACCAGCAGATGTTAGAATGACATATCTTCCGCCATAATGCTCCTTAAAAGTTAATATTATGAATACCATTATGTAGTTTTGCAAATCAAGCTATGGTATAATCACCTTGTTAATATGTAATCAAATAATGTAATTTAGACAGAAAAACAAATTAATGTAAGAGAGAACACCTACCATTGCCCTTGACCTGGTCACCTTTACCGGTGAAGAACTTATACAGTAAGTTTCTACATTTCTCCACCCAGGCTTTCCCTTTCTCTCCTTTCTTATTCTCCAGAAACTCTGTCAGCTCATTGTCTGTAACATAAGTCGTATATCAAATAATAAAAAAAATTACAATGATACCTGTAGACAACATTATACTTTGATTATTTCATTTTGGTTGGGTTACGCTGATAAAGTATAACAATGACTTCACAACTTCAAATTAATGGAGAAAGACCTACAAGGTTTAAAAAGTTCATTTCATATATAACTATCTAATTATGAAAAAAATTGAAATGTTCATGCATATAAATATATATCTGAATTTAATACAAACATTTAAAGCTGGTATCCAGATGATGAACAGAAACAGTTTTCTTATCAAAGCTCACCATGACCTTGACCTACTGACCCAAAACTGGTATTACTTTGATCTGATCTTCAATGGTTGTTTCCCAATGACCCTTACCTTTGTCACAATGACCTTAACCTTTGACCTTTGGACAAAATCCAGCAATGGGGCTTTAAAACAACCCCCTTTAAGATTGAAGGGTGTGATTCAATGCAAAATTATATTGAAGTCACAATCAGTAGCAGATATATGTATGAAGATGGAGGGAAAAACATAGCTAGTATCTTGAAGTCCATAATTATGCAAAGCAAAAAAATCTATTGCATGCTACATAAGCAAAAAATTTTAAAATAAAGCTAAAAAATCTGTTTATAAATTAATTAATCAATTCAAGAACTGTATATGATGAAAACCATTGCAACTAAGATGAGCAAATACTCGAAATCTTACTTACATCTATAAATAAGTACATCATATATCATATTATTATGCTATATGTAGAAAAACAAGCTGCCAAAAACACATCAAACCATACAGGATATTTGTGAAGATTAAAATGGGAAAACACAAAAAATATCTGTAATCTTAATCAATACTTTTCATCAGTTTATTTAAATAAAGCAAGCCTGTTCATGGCATTCCATTATATTCTCTTCATGAAGAAGATTTTGCTTCATAGTTTTAACCTTCATTTAACTCTTAAATATAACAGAAATCAAAATGGACGTAAAATAAACTTAAGGCATTTTAAAGCTAATTGTTTAAATTGATAATAACTCCCTTGTTTAATGCCCTTTACCTGCTAAATTTTCCTCAATGGAGTTGTCCACTTTCCTTTTCCTTAACCACCCATTTTATACTAATTTTGAGGGCATCAAGGTTGTAAATTTAATATTGGTCAGCCAGATCAGACTGCACAGATATTCAGGCTGGCCTTAGCTCTATACTGGTGGCAAAAGTTGATTACTTGATTTCAGCAAGTAAAACTCACACTGACATTGTGAATGTTATGCACAATAACTTTCAATTTTTTTCTGGTGGAGGAATACCTCAGGTTTTCAAGGTGTATTTTTCAAGTATGAATGACCACCTAAATAGAACCATCAACCGCATAAGGTTGCTAAACAGCTTCCTCACATGACTTAAATTACAAAACAGTCTGTCAGATGAGACTTTAAATCGAAGTCCCATGTTTGAGTTTTAGTTTGAGGTCCCGTGTATGAGTTCTTAAACACTTGGCATGCTAAAGAACCAGGAAAAGCTTCTGGAATTGGGGCATCTTTCTGTATCTTGCACTATCCTCCA